CAGACTCGGTCTTGGTGAGGATTTCCACAGAGTTCAAATCCAAATTCCGGAGAAAGCTAGCGCAGCGCATAAAACCGACCTGCCGGCCCTTCACAAGACATGTCCAGTGAAGCATATGCGCTACAGTCTCATTCATCGCACCGCGCATTCCAGGGTATCCCGATAAGCCGGCAATCATCGCCATGGTTCGCCTGTGATTGGTCTGAATTGATCACCGCCCTGCCCTTTACCAATTTAGGTTATATTAGGAGGTTTCTTGAGGCCTTAGGCAGCAATGTGGATTGTCCTGGATTATGGGGGAGCACTATTGATGGCCGGCTGCATCGGTGGGTTATTACTAGCTTGTATGGTATCCAAATACAGTAAGTCTTGTCAAGTGTTAAGATATAAGCAATGATGCCTGCGCCTTTGTGCATAGTGATCACAGACATATATTATCCGGAGCTGATAAGTAAATCTACAAGAAAAGCCTCCCATTTTCACGAGCCACACAACCCCGAACCAGACAGAACCCCCGCAGAATAGGCTAGAGCCTAGAAAAATGATGTCGAAGAGTAATAAAAAAAGGAAGGCAATTTATGAAAGTGTAAAACCCCCATATGTCCGGAGAAGAATGTCAAGAAAAGACAAGAAAAAAGAAAAGGAACATGCGAGCCTGACAAAGCTGGCATATTTTGGGAAGAATCGTATTACAAGCTCATTGGGTGAGGAAGTCCTCAATTTCGAAGCCGACTCTCTTAAGCGACTTCTCCTCTAGTTCACTCGATGAGGATGCCAGTCTTCGCACCACAATGGTTCGCGCATCATGAAGACGAACTTCCACGGGGTTACCTCCAAGACGCTCTAGTTCGTCCTTCTCGCATTCTCGGATGTACACGGTTATGTCCGGTCCTACGCACGCACGCCACAGAGATGCCATCCACTGCCAGTGGTCAAGTGGTGCATACGAGTCCCCGATCGGGACGGAGCAGGCAAAAGCATCCGCAGTCGTTAGTTGGTATCGTGGAACAAGTGCGACAGGCACGGGCATCGTAATGGAGCCCATCCCGGTAGAGACTGTCGACACAGAGCTGTTGTCGCTGGATTGTTCCGGAGAGTGGATCTGTAATTCAGCAGTCTTGGGTATAATAGTCCGCGGCGACACTCCTGGCGTAGACTCTTCATCGACTGACTTTGGCTCCGATGATGCTCGTGAAGGCTTCACGAAGCTAACTATTTCGTCAGAGATGCGGTGCCAGGAGGAGATGATGTTGAGATAATCGACAGTTGCGTCACCCATTTGCTCGGATTCGGAATAGCTCTCACGAGACCGAATCTCGGGTCCTCCGAAGACTCGGGTGAGATATCTGCCCTCCTTCTGTAATGTGTTGTTCAAAAATTCGACCATCATCTTGACAAGAACAGGATCTTGTCCATCCACAGCAATCACAGCCCCGCGTCGGAACGAAGATCCGTCATGGTATGCTGGTGTTAAGGGCGGTGAGATCTTAGCCAGAACCTTTATCTTGTTGATAAATGGGATTGTCATGACCGTCGCTTCAATGCTAGGCCCATCATGCGGATATGGAGTCGTTGGGGTGAGAGTCCCAGGAACATGAGCAGCTGTTTGTAGCGGTGGAAGTTTTAAGCTGGGATCCGGCGGGGTATACTCCTTGACATTTCGGCCGGGCCGTGGCTGCTGTAGCGGCTGGTATAGACCTCGTGAGTCTGCTACGGCCGAGCGAGGTGTGTATGGAGATGCAGGATATGAAGAATCTGGGCTCCTTTCACGGATGTCGTAAGGACCAAGCGGTCCCAACCGCCTGCGCTTACTATCTGGTGATCGGCTTCTGCTTTCCACAAAGTGCTGGCGAGGCACGCGTGATTCTCCATTTCCGTTAGGGATGAGCTTGATGACATTAGGAGCACGGTCCAGATCTTTGGCTCGACACTGGCTACTACGTGCTGAGAAGACTTCACCAGATGCCGACTTTCCGCCGAAAAAGGAGGCCCTGGGTGTGTAAGGAGTCTCTGGTGATACTGGAGGGTTCATCACACGGCCTCCACATCGACTGCAGACTGTAGAACCTGGAGGGTTATGGCTGATGCCAGATGCTCCGCTCCGGAGATTCCCATCCCGACCGTAGCGACGAGGTTGATAGCGATACTCGGGGTATTGTTGTTGATGCCGAGCTTTCTCCTCCTGTCAAGGGTTAGGTGGCTTGAGAGTTTCATAGCATACAATGTGCTTACCTCTGCCAGCGCTTTCCACTCATCCTTTGTCTCCTGTGGTAGTCCTCTCCATTGCTCCCCAATAATTTTGGAGATTTCAGGATTGGCAAGGCCTGGATTCTGCGCGACCACTGCAGCCTGGTAATGTTGGCGGTATAGGATGAACGCTTTTACCTGTTTGTCAGCTCAAGAAGCAAATTGAGTAGATTTCAGGCTGCATACCATTCCGGGGCCTAGGGATCTTCGGATCCGGCTGACAGAGGCAGAACTGTGTTGCCGACTCCCTTGGGGTGGGAGCATTGGACGACTTGATTGGACTAGATGACGACGACCGTTCCGACAAAGATGAGCGTTCACGAAGAGGAATAGCCTTGGTAGGTAGAAGATTCGCGGACTTCGGGACCTCAATAGCAGAGGCAGCGTTGGAGGCGACTTTGTTGAGAGCTACCTTGCTTCGATTCAGAGTGGTCAGATGCACCGGAGGCAGTGTGTCAGTGAATCGACGATGACCACTCAAAGCAGAAGTGTCTAGATGACGGTCCATCATGGACACTTTCGCGACGTCGTCATTCATGATCTTATGCTCGAGGAGGTTACTAGTAGGCCGTGACAGGGGAAGATGGTGAGAGCTGTCATGGTGTAGAAGAGGAGGCTTGGGCAGAACGCGATCGTAAGACATGACATTTATTTTATGGAGTAAAAGAGCAAAGGGCTTTTTGGGGGGGACAGAGAAGTGGGTGAACCAGCAGACTGAAAGGAAATGGCGGGCAATGAATAATGAAAGTCTGCGAGATGGTGGGTGAGAAATCGAGGTTATAGAGAGAGCCGTGGCCCTTGAATGGGCGGACGCTGCACAAGTGGATGAAAGAAAGAAAGCCCCAATATAAGGTTATAGTTATAGTCAACGAGACGAATGAGTTTCTCCTCGTGCTGCACCGGGTATTTCCAAACTGGCTGTTGTTAATACTTTCTTTTTCTTTTCTTTTCTTTTCTTTCTTTTTCCAATCGAGCGGCCGTCTCTGTTGGTGTCTTTTGGCGTGGAATATTTTATTTTCTTTTTCAGTTCAGGGTCGAATGATAATAATTAGGAAGAAAAGATGATAATAATAATAAGAATAATAAGAATGCTGATAATAATATCCAGCTGAATTATTATTTGGAGGCGTCAGGGGTGTCCTCACTGCTGGTAATTTTCTTTTCTTTTTCTGCCTTCCTTTTGCTGCCTCCTCGTTCTTTGACAATGAAATGATATTTCCATTCAGGCCGAGCCAACCAAGCCGAGGGGACGCCAGTGAGATAAAGCCAGGATTTGGCTTTTCAAGTGCTTTGTTATGGGGAGCTATCTTTGGGGCCCTTCGGTCTGGCGCCCCTCCCTTTGACTACGACTAAAAAATCCCGGGCTTTTTAGTTTCTTTGTCCCTGTCAGGATGACCCGAGTCCTTCGTTCGGTTGGGAGGGGACATTATCCCCACCAGAGACAGCTGTTCGGAGAGTTGTGATGGAACCTCAAAGTAAGGAAACCTCCCGGGTTGGGAAGGACGTATCATCATGGTACCTTTCATCGGGTGGTGTGGTGTTGTACTGGGGGCGGAGGAAGAGAGGTACCTTGACTTGACTCTACTTAACTTGTCCCTGGATGAACCCCCAACCAAAGGTACCCGAGAACTGGAAGAGCAAGAGAGAGCCAGAGGGCGAGAGAGACAAAGTGGGCACTTGGGAGGTAGTAGCAGAAAAGCAACAACCTGAATGTGAACCTCATCCTCTTCTTCTTCTTCTTCTTCTTCTTCTTTTTTCTTGCCAGGTGAGTCAGCAGTAGGGGCAAGAAATGGGCCCTTCCAGAGCTCATTCTGGTTGATTGATTGCCTTTTTGTTTTGGGGCATTATTTAATATGTTTTGGGCAGTTCGATAATAATACCTACAATTTTAGTAAGTCATAGCTACCCGGAAAGCTACTAGTTAAACCTGGGGACCTAAGTACCTAGTTGTTTTACCTTTTTCCAACTTTCTGCCCTTTTCCCCTTCTCAATACCCTCCCTAGTCAAGAAAGACTACCACACTAATCGACTAGTTGCTTAGAGATTGCTATACAGGTTTATTGTTTCAATCCTGGAGCCATTTTAGCTTTCCTTTGTCTGTTCGGCGTCCGCATGCGGTGTGCTGCAGTGATCTGGGACCAATTAGCGATCCACAGAGCCCGACCGGGCCTGGCAATTGGCCCACCGCCAATGTGACACATGCGCAAATGGATTTGATTGTCTTCCAATCCGTCTAATTTCTCGCCAGCATCATCCTGCTTGCTTTGCTTTACCACGGTCTGGCACGCACACCACTAGCCTTCTACAGTAGTAGTACCCTACTCGGCTGCCTAGGTGGTACTTTGAAGGTACTTGTTGTTTGCTGCTGGCTGCTTGCTAAGTATCGTTTGGTTACTACTTACTACCTACCTACCTACCTATTTGAACTAACTGAACGTGCTTGATTTGCTTGCTTGGCTCAAGGTAGTAGTTCCTGGAAGTTTGATACCCACTATTCTACACTGGGCACTGAACTCCGTCGTTCCCCAATCCCTCCCTACGTGCTCGGACCATAAATTAAAAAGGAAAACAGCGATCGTGGCCATGGCTACTATGGTGTAATACATACATTCCAGGTGGCGGTATCAGAATTCCGCCATCTCCACCTCCACCTCTCTCCTCCATCTAAAGCAAAGGTACTTTTTATCCAGGACAGCTCCTGGCTAATGACAGAACTTCCCGAGGCTTCCATGACAGCAGGCCGATCCTCTTCGGAGACAAAGAAACTAACAGCCAGCACCGAATGAAAGGAAAGAGGAGTCAAAAAAAGAGAGAAAGAGAAGAAGCAAATAATAATAAAAAAGAACCGAAAGCAAAACAGGGAAAAGAACGGACAGCCCGATTTGGCAAACTGACACTGGATGGATACTACTTACTACTCCGTGCTCTTACTTACCACCGACACCACCAAATCTCCATCCACCAGCACCATCCGCACCATCCGTTACCCCTGCTGCTTTCCCCAACCACACTTCCAAGGGGCCCTTTCCACAGGGTCTGGTCAGGTTCCATTATTCCTTACCTCCCCAAAGTCTGATCCGTAGTTCCCCCGATCCATCAGAAAGGTTCACGGGTCTCCATTGACACGTTGATGTTGCAGGTGTCCCCATTCCCAGGCTGGAGACCGGATCGATCTACTCTGTGGCGATCGCATTCCGATCCCTGCTCCACCTTCCACCGCCATCACGTTACAATCGTCCGTCTCCGGATGGGGCAGCCTGACTTCCGTGCTCATTCTCAATGAGACATACCACTCTGGCCAGTTCCCTGTTCGGTCCTGGTTTGGTAGCGACCTGAAACCTCTCGTGATTCGAAACAGTTGTGCTCCCCCAGTACAAACTCTTTCCTCTCACTCATCCAGTCTCGGAGCGGGCAGAAAGACATGGTCTCAGACCTATTGACACATCGCCTAGAGACCAGTCGAATAATCGGATAGCAGGCTCATTGGAGATAAGAGAAGCAGGCCGCCATTTGACAGTGCCGTTCGTCAGCGTTTGATGGTCCCGGGAAGCGGCTGATGTCTAATCATCTACAGAACAAGTTTCCCCCCAGCCTGTCCTTGGCGAATTACGTCTCAAGAGGTAATGAAAAATAATAGTAAGACCTCATCGGTTGCGCTTTCAGAATTTTTTTCTTTTCTCTGCTCTCTTATTTTGATGTTTAAGGGAAAATCATCGGAGCCACATCTCTTCGATTCCATGGAACACTTCCGCGCCCAGAAGTCTATGCGCTGAGGGGCCAAGGTGCATGTCGTTCCTGAGAATAATACGGTCAGCACTCGATCAAGTCAATGGGCGCCAATCATAATGCCTTGTCCTTACCAGAACAGAAATTTCTCTGGACGGTCGCACTGTTGCGCGCCTGACGTCACCATCCATTGCTGGCTGCTTTGGACGCATGCGTCTTCAACATTCTCCCAACCGGGATCCTCGTTCTTCCCCAATCCACTCTCTTCCTCGATCCCTGCGGCAAAGAGTTGCCAGTCGCGAATCTGGTCGGCCAGAAAAGAGTTGGTGTCGAACAAATAAATCGTGCCGTTCGACCAATCTTCGGCGTTATTGCGGAGTTCTCCGTTCCAATAGTCTGCGATCCTCACGGCATCTTTGTGCTTGGTAATCTGCGGCTGCCCCTGCGCTCTATAGGCCGGCAGGAAGGTTACATCTGGTGCTAATGTCAGGATGATCTTGAGGTCATTGCTGCCCCATGTCTCGGCCAGCAAATCCAGCTCCTCCATAATGACTTTGATATTGCGATCGACTGCATGGGATGCGTCCTCGTACGTCTTTGCCATTACGTTCCACAAGTCCCATACACCAAAGGATACAACCACGATGGTGCGATTCTGACGCATGCCAACCGCAGTCGCATCCATCTCTCTCGTGGCTTCCGTCTCCGCCGCAATCCAATTGGCGACCTGAGCTTTCAGATCCGCCAATGGAGACTTGTAGAGGTTGAGTAAGGAACCCGACAGCTCCGTGTTATCCACCACAGAGCCAATGTAGTTTCCTCTGAGAGACTTGGCTGTCTCTGCTAAGTTCTCATGGTGACATGAGAACTGGGCCGAGAGATTAGCTTGCCACTTTGATCCAGCCAAGTAGCTTTCACACTCACCGAGTTACAAAGCCAGTCCGTCCATACAGATCCCTGAAGCTCGGCTGCATTGTTGTCGCTCCACGAGTCACCAAAGACGACTAGGCGACGGTCGAAAGATGCCGTGGCGCGGGAATCCGACGAAGGCTCTTTTGTCAAGACTACCCGACGATAGTAATGCTGAGAGGCGAGAAAGGAGGCTGACAGGAGAATGCTGCACACAGCCAAGGCGCAGACCGCGTGAAATTTGCTAAAGAGGCGCATTGGGTCCGGGCATAAAGGACGGATACGAAGGGCGGAGGCGAGACAGCGAAAGCCGCTGGGCTTCGCAGGCGAAGCCGATAAAGCTGGGGGGATCGGCGGCACTCTTTGTTGCGCGGTTGCACACAACGATGCTGAGTGTATACGTTTGACCAAAGGAAAACGAGAAGAAACCGAACAACGGGAAAGGGGGGCAAGAATGAGATAAGACGGAGACGCCGTACGTAGTGATCTGCGGCGAGATCAAGCAAGAACTTCTTCCCCTAACAGAAGCACAAAAGACAGGATGACCTCCGGCAGTACCGTGCAAGAGGAGAAACTAATAGCGTGCGATGGGGATGGTTGGCGCCAGAGTGGGGACTTGACTGGAGAACTCTGTCAGTCGGATGAAAACGAGAACCTGAGGGGAACGGATGCAGTAACAAGAAAAAGGAGACAACACCGAACAGTGCGAGAGTTGAGTGAGGAAACAGAAAATGTTCCCTGACCTGTCCACTACGATAGCGCGCTTGTGGCCATCTTTGCATCTGCCGTAAGGCTGTTCTTGTCCTGGCCTCTCGGACGTTGGCAGTGGCCGCGCGGCGACGTCGGAACGGTAACCAGTCGCGTGCTCTGGGTCTTTTGCGTCAGTCCCAAGACTCCATCGAGCTTGGAAGAGGCGGTTTTGTACAAGGGCCAAGTCCCCATCAGTGGATCTCACTGGCCTGCCCTCGTGGACTTTTCTCTGTTCCAAGCAATAGAAATGTCATCGAATCAGCAACGAACGTCTGTCGGAAAAGGCGGTCATGTTCCCTGAACCCCCTTACTGGGATGTCATGAACAACACCCCTCCTCGGCCACTATCTATCTATCTAGTATCTACTACCGAAGGCGCAGTTTTGGTGGTGGGTAGTAATCAATCAATAATCAACATCAACCATTAATAGATAACGGGGGGCCGCCTTTCCAAGACAGGCTGCCACTTTAGACTCCGACCTTCCGAACGGCCCAACTCGATCCGGATTGGTCTCCCGTCTTGGACTGTCGGGAACGGAAGAACACAATGTGCAACTAAATCCGAGTCAGCGAAAGCGCCCTTCATTACTATACCTTCCTTCCTATATATCTAGTGTGTGCTTCTCGAACTTCTGGTTGCGACTCATAAAGATACACTTCGAAGAAGCTCCTTCCAAGCTTTACTAGTCGTTATGATTCCGACCCGGACCAGTTCGGCACCTAATTGACTGACTAGATCTACTAATCCCCTATCGCCGAGACGCTCAGGGGTTGACTATAACTAACCCCTGGATGGCATCAACTACTCACTTGAGACAATAAGCTCATTATGATGAAGAGTTCTTATTCTCAAAATCGTCCTGCATAATGATACGCATGTGCACCCTCTCAGTGCCTGGCTCCAAGCGCACACATCAGCCTACATGTGTTGCATTATAGGCTGCAGGACAGAGTCCGGAGTACGCAACAAGTGAAGGTCAGCTCGGAGAAAGGCCTATATGACGAGAAATGTGGCACCTAAGACGCAACACGGTGGCTCCCTGAATTTGCCTTGTTGAAGCTTAGGAGGCACTCTACTCAAAGCTAGTTTAGGGGTTTGGTTACTGAATATAGTCAATAGACTGTTCTAGCTGCTGACTGTTGGATGCATAAGGTCGCGATCAGAGACATGTATGGTTATCAGACATAGATATGGAAGACCCCGATCTGTTGGAGATATTTGACTCCAAATTTGCCTACTGGGTACACAGGGTCGCAGGGATCACACAAAGATCAGGTGACTTAATACACGCTTCCGCACAAAGGACAGAACCTAACCTGTCTTTTGTATCAAGTAGGTGCATCATGGAATACGAGCATCGGCGCGTAACCAAAACCTTAGACGTTGTTCTTATCACAACAACCTGGTGGTATCCTCAAGCATAAACACAGGCCTAGCCTCGTAGTTCCCGAAAAGGCAAGGGGGCAAGTCAGGTGCCGGGAGTGCTGACATAAGAGCCCTACCGAGGGCACTAAGTCCAAAAGGGTTAGTGGACTTAGTCAGCCGCCCACACAGGGAAATCTCGCTACACCACCAAAAAAATCCCACGAAGAACGAATCCCCGACGACCTGAACCTCCTCGACCTGTCGACAAACCGCGCCCTCCGTCTTGACCGCGCAGACCCGTCAAGATGAAGCTCAACATCTCCTACCCGGCCAATGGGTCTCAGAAGATCATCGAGGTTGACGATGAGCGCAAGCTCCGTCCCTTCATGGAGAAGCGCATGGGAACCGAAGTCAGCAACCCTCCCCCTTTGGATATCCGCCCCCCGAAAACACCACAGTTGGAAAAGAGACGAAAAATGAGAAATACACGCAAAAATTATGGGAAAAGCAGAAGACTGATTGGGGTTTCTTTTATTGCTATAGGTTGCCGGCGACTCTCTCGGTGACGAGTTCAAGGGTTACATCCTCAAGATCACCGGTGGTAACGACAAGCAAGGTACGACTGGATTGCTTTTCCCCTGTTATTTCGGATTTGGGCTCGACTAGAAGGACTCGAATGCGAACAAGAATCTTTGGATATCATGGTTAAAAGAATGAACATTGGATGCTGACTTTGACGCTCTTCACAGGTTTCCCCATGAAGCAGGGTGGTATGTACCGACCGACGCAAATATAATCCGACAAAAACACAGCAGAAACTCATCGATTTTGTGTGCAGTTCTCCTCCCCACCCGTACCCGCCTCCTCCTTGCCGATGGCCACAGGTAAATGCGACCTGCCGATAATGGAGTTTACGAAATGGAAGACTGATGTCCGCTGCAGCTGCTACCGCCCCCGCCGCACTGGTGAGCGCAAGCGCAAGTCCGTCCGTGGTGGTAGGTTTTACCCAACAACAATACATCCGTTATTACCCTTCGAGTTGATCCGTTGACGCTTCGTTTTTACAGCCATCACCGGTCAGGACCTCGCTGTTCTTGCCCTGAGCATCGTCAAGCAGGGTGAGGGTGAGCTCCCCGGTCTCACCGACACCGTTGTCCCCAAGCGCCTCGGCCCCAAGCGTGCCACCAAGATCCGCCGCTTCTTCGGTCTCGACAAGAAGGACGACGTCCGCAAGTTCGTCATCCGTCGTACCGTCACCCGTGAGGGCAAGCCCGACTACACCAAGGCCCCCAAGATCCAGCGTCTGGTTACTCCCCAGCGTCTCCAGCGCAAGCGCCAGCGCATTGCCCTCAAGCGCCGTCGTGCTGAGGCTGCCCGCGAGGCTGCGTAAGTGCACCCTTTCCCCTTTGATGGGGCATGCACCCAAAATGTATGAACTGGACATCCGCTAACCATGCATGCGATACAGTAACGACTACGCCAAGCTCCTTGCCAGCCGTGTCCACGAGGAGAAGGCCAAGCGCGATGAGCTCCGCAAGCGGAGAGCGTCTTCGATGAGGAAGTAAATGTGTTTGTCCGCGGGGGTTAATGGTCGGGTTACGTCTCTGTTCTAGCTAAGGGAAAAAGGGTATTATAGAAAGAATCTCAAGCAAATGGGAAGGGGGATTTTTTTTTATATCCACCCATTTTCTCTTTTCCTATCTTCGAGTTCCGAAGCAGAGCGACCCAAGAACAAAAAGCTCCTTGGTTTGGGGAGGGAGAGATATTGAGAGAGAGAGGAGAGAAGGCGTCTGCAGCGGACCGAGAGACTTTGGCGTGCCGATATTGTCTGATCCAACCAACACATCAAAACCAAAAAAGGAAATGCTATATCTCTCCACAATTTTTATGGAAATGAAAGGGATTAAAAAATGTGAAAGAATTTCTTCGTTTTTTTCTTTACACACTTTTTTATTCTATATGGCCTTGCGACCATTATCCCTTCCCCTTCCCTGGCACGATTTAAAAAAAAATACCCATGGACTCCGGTTCTCCGCAGATGTTTTCTTCTCTTATGTGCGCTGCTTGTGAATGAAATGAAACTTCTTTGTATTCCAAATTTTAGTTGGTGTTTTTCTTTCCTTTTTTTTGGTTCTATCTATCCCCTGGTTGTAGTGTGTAATCATCCCTCTTTAGGACCCCTACTGTGGTAAAACCTAAAATTGTCCCAATGTAGCCCAGCCAGTGGATTGATTGATTAATTATTGTGTGGTCAGTACTCTTTTTCTGTGTACCCACAATTCTTAACCCAAGATCCCACTAGCGATCGTTAGTCAAGTGCGGAGTAAACAGACATAGACACAGACACCAACTGCACATCCAGCATAGGTCTGGCCAAACTCGAACCCACTTTATGTCTTAATTGTGTAGTATATATCATTTGGCATACATAAAGTATACGTAAGGGCGTACTATATTCACTCGCGTTACTACTACTGACACTCAATCCCTCGCTACTCAGCAGTGCAGGCAATGTATACTGTCACAGGGCTAGGCACCCAGTATATATTAGATGGTACTAATATTACTCCGTCTTATATAGAACTAGGCAGGTGAAGTCAAACCCCGCTAGCAGTAGTAGTAACATCCATCTAGTAGTATCTTTACGGAGCTAATTACTACATAGTATCAGGAAGGTGTGTTAGTAGTACTTCTGATATTAGTACCTCATGATAAGTTAAAAACATGAAGACCGCATCACCTATCTTTTCATCAGGTATATATACTCCCGAACGAACGCAGAATGACAAGATACTAAGCAACACAACATATATGTTAAATGTCATTCTCCCTATTCTTAACAATTAACTACCTACTACTAAGTCTATTTGATACAGCAAGACCAGAAGTTAGTACTACCCTTCGGTATAAAGTTTTACTTGCCTGCATAGTATTCACCCATAGTATCGTTGACCACTCGTAACTGACTTTTCAAAATCAAACAATCAAATCAGCCACCAAACCCATTGTTTCACAACTGAATAAATACACATCAATAGAGAAAACAATAAATCTTACTTCTTAGCCACGTACAAACCTACCTAGTATCAACTTCATTCAACCCCATAATTGAACTTACACTAAAACTCACTATACGAAGATTAAGAATGAGATATATATATACCTAACAAGTGTATGATGGATCCAAATGTCTAGAGGCGAAAAACGGGGAGGAAGCAGAACTTTTTGTTTTCTTTAATCCATCGGTCTTAAAGAGACCTTCAGTCGATGCATAGTGTATTCTACTTATCTATCACCTAGTCACTATATGTATGTATTGTATGTCAATCTTGTGATTGATATCATGTATGATATGATCCTATCCTAATGCTATAAGTACTAGCAGCATACTTAATCCTCCTCAATGAAAAGCACCTTATATTCTAGCTGCACAATATTCTTATACTATAGCACTAGTACTAAGTGAGTAAGCTGGAGTAACACCAACCGCAATGAACAGTTACCTTCAGCCAAGTAAAATACAACCACTGAGGGGGAAAAAAAAATAAAAATAAAAATAAAAATAAAAATAAAAATAAAAAAAATCAATATATTCTTATTGAGAACCCCCGCCTCGCCCACCCTTCTTATTTATTTATTTATTCACTCCGGGGAACATTTTCCGTCAGAATACTTATGCATCATTTGTGAGCTACTAACTACTGGTAAAGATACTTGTATTCCTAGTAAAACCTAAAAAGTATCACCATAGGTAATTATGGCATAAAGTCAAAATTGGAGTGCGAAAGGAAAAAAAGCAAGCATACTTATTAGTAGTGCAGCTGATCAGTAAGGGATGGATGGATGGATGATGGATGGATAGCATGCTGACAAGTCGGACTACTACTTACTAGTAGTAGTACTGATTAGACCCGGAAATATAAATCTCGGAACTGAATGTACGACTTGCAGTAAAGATCGATTTAGGGCTAGCCCGTGTGCATTTTACTCAACTAGTAGCTGATATCTCCGAGGTTTGATTTGACGTCTACGAATGCTTATTTCGTACTTTCTGTACTGATAAGTCCGTGTATTGTATCTAAACCTCAGTATTTCCAATCTGACTATAGTATCTATGTTAGAGTGTAGGACGGAATCCAATTCAGATGGCAATCTATTGTATCAGTAAAATTCCTATGTGATCCGCTCACAATAACGAAGAATAGTACATCATCAAAATGAAGACGACCAAGGGGAGAAAAAAACAAAAAAAAAAAAACAAAGAGAAAACCGTTGATATATGTACAGTATAAGTGCTTCAATTCAGCTGGTAATAGAAAGCAAAAAGGCGCCGCCGACTTTTTCATATCTCCCTTCCTTTCCACCTTCTCAAAGGTCCATAAGCTTCATAACCGGTAAATGCGTTAAATATAGTTTGACAGACGGAGGCGCCTATCCCGGGAATTCCGTGGCTAAAGAGTCCTAATTTCATGATCTAGGCCCTCCTAGAGGTATCCGACTACGCACGACAATAATTAAAAAAAAAGAAAAAGCAAATGTGAACCGCCTCCAGATAGCGGCATGTCCATCTTGTCCTCCATCACTGCCATGTGCCCTTACTAATCGTTTAGGCGACAGCGTGCGAGAACAGGAAGCTCACAGACTCGCCGTTGTGCGTACGTCTGCAGGCCTCTGCAAGAGTGGGGCTAATGTCGATCGTCTCGATCTTGTCGCACTGCTCCTTCTTGTCTTCGTGAGGAACAGTGTTGGTCACAACAACACGGCTCAGGCAGCTGTTGTTGATATTCTGAGTAGCCTTGCCGGAAAGGATACCGTGGACGACGATAGCGTTGACTTCCTTGGCTCCGTGCTGCATCACAGTATCGGCGGCCTTGACAAGAGTACCGCAGGTATCAGCCATGTCGTCAACGATAATAGCGATCTTGTCCTTGACGCTACCAACGAGAACCATGCGCGAGACCTCGTTAGGGCGGGGGCGCTCCTTGTGGATGAGAGCGAACTGGAGGTCGAGACGATCGGCGATGGCAGTGGCACTGTTCAAAATTGCTCATCAATATCGACTTGCAGTATATCGAGCATCCAATAAATCATATTCACTTACCGCTTAGCACCACCAGCATCAGGACTGACAATGATACAGTTGCTCACATCAAGGTGTTCGCGGATCCACTTCAGAATGCTAGGCTCGGCATACAGGTTATCGACGGGAACGTTGAAGAAGCCCTGGATCTGGCTGGCATGGAGGTCCATGGTGATGACGTGGTTGCAACCAGCAGTCTGGAGCATGTTTGCCATAAGCTTGGCGGTGATAGGAGCACGGCTCTTATCCTTCTTATCTTGGCGCGCATAAGGGAAGTTGGGAATGACGGCCGTGATACGTCTTGCGGAGGCGGTCTTGCAAGCATTGATCATGATGAGCAGCTCCATCAGTCCATCGTTGATATCATTGGGCCGCGTCGACTGCAAGATGAAAACTGCAGGGTGTACACATTAACCCAGGATCTTTTGCGGGCCTGAGTCTGAGCAGGCGGAGTGGACAACAATACCATCCTCATCTCGTACACTCTCTCCGATTGTGACACTGGTTTCCTGGTTCGAATATTGGAGGACCATGATCTTGGTCAATTCAATGCCAAGCCTGTCAATTGAAACGGCTCGTTAGTCCATGGTGTACTGCAAGGGTGCAGAAATAGTCCAGAACTATAGCGCATACCGAGCTGCCACAAGGTTTGCAAGCTCAGGGTGACTGTTACCAGTCAAGAGCTTGATCGAGTTCGAAGCCATTTTTGGAGATTGGAGAGAAACCGGAGGAGGGGTTCAGGTGAGAGCGGCGCGTGGAACCGGACAGGTGTAGAGGGGAGATTGATTTGGTGATTGAGAAAGAAATGAAGAAGAAGTTAGAGAGCAGAAAGTAGCATGCCCGAGAGATAGGAAACGCCCATCGACCGGAGAGAGAGCAGCGGATTGAAGAAGTTGAGATTCGAGCCGATGCCCCGCCGGCAGGTGACTTTTTCGCCCAGCAGAAAAAAGTTGCATCCCGTGACTCCCCGGATCCACCGCCCTTCACCGCCTCCAGACTACGGAGAAGCACCCGGCTGACTAACCGCGCATCGATGGCTGGATAAGGAGTGTTGAGATTGGGTGAAAGAACGAGAACATTGACTGGAATTTTCTAAGTAATTGACACATAGCTGAAGAAAGTACATGCTGCTGCAATTTGCAAAGTAAAATATAAGAAAAAAAATGGGAAATCTTCGAACCGATCCCCAGCATTCCAGTTGACCTGCACTTCAACTGGTCTGCCGGTTGCGGTCCATTTCCTACCACAACCCCCATGCCTTTGGTAAGGTACAAACTAGCTGAAAATGAAGATGTGTCAAACGCCATAATATGCTTCAGCATTGAGTCAAGGACACTGCGAGTGAGAGTGGGTTAAACCCCCAAGTCATCATTTACGCAATAAGGGATATTAGCGCCACCATTTTATGCAAACCCGAAATATTCACTGCCAGCCGTCATCGCAGTGTAAAGACGTTGCCGTAATGTTTCGTAGCTCTCATATTCTGGAAGATCCAGCTCTGTGCCACATAGTTAGCAAGCTGTGCCATATAGATATTCCCGGACATTGCTGGTGTACTTACGGTTGAAACAAGTATGAGAGCTTGGGAGACGATCCTTGTTGCCGTAATCACGGTGGATGTTGAAACGGCTGACTCCGTTCATGCCCTCAAGTTCCTTGAATCCATTCAGAGGCACCTTGCTAGTACCCGTAACGAACTGCAGAAGCTTGGCGCGTTCTTCCTTATCGAAAGAGCGGACCGCGCGCCAGAACCACTGAATCTGGGGCGAGGAGGCCGAGTAGTTATGATACTCGGTATTGACCTTCCAATCATCCACTTCGATTTCGGGGAGACCGGAGATTAGCAACTCGAGCTCCTGCTCGTTGAAGATGGAGATCAGATCGGAGGGGATGATCTCATGGAATCCTAGACAGAACGAATTAGCCACATACTCAATAGTCAAGGGGAAATGAGACCAAAACATACCCTTCAGGAAATTGTCCAGCTGCTCCTTGACGGAGCCGACCAAACGGTAATCGACGACCCGTTGGATGTATTCCTCCTTATTTTCTTCAGTGACAGGAATATTACGTCCGTTCTCAATGAGATCGATCACTTGTTTCTCTCCAAAGTCATCCGTCTCGACAGCGAAGGTCTCAGTAATGATGTCAGTAATGTCGTTTTCGAGCATCCAGAGAAGGGACTTGTAGTAGTCAAGGTCAAGCGTCTCCATATCCTTGATGGATACTGACCGACCGAGGATGCACTTGTAGACCGCACGGCTGAAATGGCAGTCAAGGACGCGTCCCTCGTACAGGGCTTTGCCGATGATACGTCCAATGAACTTGAAGAACATCAGATGTTCGGAGTTGACACCACTCAGACGGTTCGGGTGGAATGTAGTCCTGTCCGAAGCAACCGGGATGAACAGAGCGTAGTTGGGGTTGAACATGCCACGCGCGAGAACTTGGAACCATTCTCTAGTCACACCACCGGCATCGACACCCTCTTCACCATGGAAGCGTACGTTCAGCTTGCCATATTTCAGTTCGTCCGCTGTCTTGAAGTACAAGGACTTAAAGGAATCCAGGAAGACTTGGTCACGTCTAACAGACAGCTGAAGAGGTGGATGGGGGTGACGAGGCTCAGCGCCACGGGAATGAATGCGACGAGTGAAGTAGTTGCGCTTGTTGTCAAACTCTAGAACCTTGGGGTTCTTGACCAGCAGCGAGAAAGTGCCACTCATCAACCGGGGATTTTGTCGCACAAGCTCATTAAGAATCTTGCGATGTTCCTCTGTGAACTTAAAGAAGAGGCTTTCCATGCTGAGACCAGCGTCAACGGAAGTGGTCGACACAGACAACTCCCTACTGTTCCGGGCAAGAGAGGTATCCTTGAGCGTGGTATTCTTGCAAACCACCATTAATGCTTCGATCAAAGGCAGGAGAATAGTTGCGACGTTGAGCATGTTCTCCTTCTGTCGAATTACGGTCAAGCATTCGCTAAGTCTGGTCCACAGAGGCCCGAAAGTAGAGCATTCGTACAACGTTTGTAGAACATCTTCCTTAGCGGCATTGTCAGGCTCGGCTCCCTTCACCTTGTCCATCCGAGAAGGATCAAACAGGTAATCGAGAGCCGTGAGAACGCGCAATAATTTAGCCTGATCAGAACTGGCTGGCGAGAACTTAGCCAAAGCTAGACCCTGCATATCGGTACCGGTACGAGCCTGGTGAATGTGCGACAGCAATTCATCAAGATCAGTGAGAATAACAGTGCTCAGAGTTTGAGCCTGGCTGACCAGCTCGTTACCGATCACGTCCCTAGCCCCGGGCACAGCGGAAAGGTTGTTGATGGTGGAAAGTGTGTCCCGGAATGTCTTTCCGTTGCATTCACGAGCGGCGAGGATGTGGACGACCAGCTGCAAGTTGTGATCAGGGACAACTGGTGGTTCGATAGTTCTTCTCTTGTGCTTCTCTTCTTCAGCTGTGGTCTTTGCTTTCTCTTCCTTGGCGGCTTCCGATGGTTCCGTCTGCCCTGGCTGAGCAGTTTCAGTTTGCGGTTGCGTGGTCTCGACGGTGGGAAGCGGTGCATCTGTCATTGTCGTGTCCGTGGCAGATCCCGTCTGATCTGCCGGAACAGGTTGCTGCTGTTCCTGTTCTTCAGTCGGTCTCTCTTCCCGCGCCTGCTCGGGCTGCTTGCCCTTAGCCTTCTCCTCTTCCTCCTGCTTTTCCTTCTCCCGACGGAGCAAAAGTGTAAGAGGCTGTGTGATACTGCTTAGTAGACTTGATAACTGCTCCATGCAATTTGGGTTCTCCATGATCAACTTCCGGTCCAGTAAGGTTAACAATGCATTGAGAGCGAATTTGTTAGCCCTATTCTCCTTGCCCTTGCCCTTGCGGAGAGCCTTCAGCTTCAGGGCCGGGGAAGAGTCATGCTCGGTCAAGAAGAACCAAGCAATGTGAGGGTTGTACTGCGATAGGAAAGAAAGAGTTCCCAGGCACTGCTGTACAACCATAATCGGAGTCACTTCATTGCTCACATTCGAAGACCCCTGGAATGACAAGTTCCGTTTCACGGATTGAGGGGTTTTCTGAACCGAGGAGGGCTTAGCACGGAGTGAGAGCTGAGCAAAACTGCGTTCGATCGCCGAGACATCCGCACTACCGTCCTGAAGGACAGATAAGAGAAGGCTAATGACCTCCATCCTGTTCTGGCGGTTCTCGCACACGTTATGGAGAATGTCGTTCAACTGGTGGCGTGCGTTGCCTTGGAGAGGCATGAACATCAGACGCAGTAGCGTAGCGACGCCGGCCTTGTCCAGCATCTGGACAATCTGACGTCGTTGTTGCTTTTTAGGCTCTTGATCGTCGGCTGGCTCACGTCGGTGACGGTGGTCGACCCGAGTGATATCGCCGAATTGTGCCAATCGTCTGCCTGGCAACGCACGAGCTTCGGAAAGGAATTCTGGACCCAATGTTGCCAGGATTTCTTCGGGCTGATCAGCCAGAACAGCTTGACGTAAGGATGGGTCTAGCGTAGCCAGAAAACTAGCAGGGTCCATCTCTTCTGCATGAACAGGAGCCGGAGCCGGAGCTGCTGCACCTGCAGCAGCAGCAGCTTGTCGGCGAGCACTGTCACGCTCCCGGCGACGACGATCGGCCGCTTCTTGCTGCAGCAACTCCTCCCGGATCTCTGGAGGCAAGGCTTCCAAGAACTCTGGATTGATTTCACTGGGCTCTTCGCCAGCAGCAGCAGCCTGAGAACGTTGTTCTGCGAGCTGCTGCATGATGACTTCCTCTCTCAATTCTTCAGGCAAGGCTTCCAGGTACTCCGGATCGATTTCCATGCCAGTGATGTCAAGCTGACGGCCTCTGATAGTTGTGTGCACGCGGGGAGCAGGTTCTGACGGGCCTGCATCAGTCTCGGCTGCCGGTGCTGCAGCCTCGTTGCCGGTGTCTGTCCGTTGTACATCGTCCATGGGCTCCGTCTCAATACCGGACGCTTGTCGCTCTGCTTCCTGACGTTCCAGTTCTTGCTGCCGTCTGGCATTCTCCTCCTCTTCCTTGCGCTTTCTCTCTTTCTCCTCCTCTTCCCTGGCGATGCGTTCCTGACGTTCACGTTCTGCGCGTTCTTCTTCACGCCGCTTTCGCTCTTCCTCCATCTGCTTCTCCCGTCTCTTTTCTTCCTCAATTGCAGGGGGCACCAAGATCTTCAACAGGGAGTTGACCACACGCTGGGTCTTCTCAACGTATGCGCTGCTGAACAGAATGCGGGCCTCCTCTTGCCAACGGCTTCTGGTTGTAGCTAAGGCGAAGCTCACGGCTTGGGAAGGATCATCGCGAGTACGGGAAGGAGGAGCTTGGGGTCTGCCAAGGCCGAATATGTCTTGTATCCGGTTAGGCATTGCACGTCTATCAACATGGACGTGGATACCATCGGGACGGGTGATGACCCCAAATCCTGGGCCCCCTTGTCCGCCAATAGCCTGCAAAACTGCGTTCATGAAGCTAACAGGACTATCCATAGGAAGCAGACGTCCCGTCGATACGGGCTCCATGCCATGAACCCAGTCGGTGAAAGCTTCATTGCCAGGTACGCGGGGCTGACCACCTGTCTCGGAGCCACGGTCTGTCCGAACAAGAAGTGGGTTGGTCCCGTCATCGTTTCCACGGGCCGGAATTTGAGTTCTATGGAGTCGATAAGGCTGAATGGGAACGATACCGTGCCGACTGGGCATGATCCCACTAACCGCAGCCCACGCCGGCCGAGGACCATGGAATCGGGAGTGATGATGGCCTCGTGGCGGTTGCTCATCGCCTTCCCATCCCCAAGGATCCATAAGATCTTCCTCATCATCGAAACCTTGGTAGGACCCTTGGTCGTCGTCGGCATCCTCGAGTTCTTCCTCGAGTTCCTCGAGTTCCTCGTCTTCTGGGAGCATTGTTAGTGTCGGGTACACGGATGTTAATAAGGAGCACTTACCCTCTTCATCAGCCAGGTCATCATCGACGATGTCTTCATGCATATCCCCGAGACTGTCAGCCTGAAGATCTTCAACGCCGCCGGCAGCCTCATTGAGGACGCGGAACAAATCATCAAACCGCTGCCCATCGTCGCGCTGCTCTGCCTGTCGAAGACTATCGGCCAACTCATCCTCGAATTGATTCATGATCTCAGCTTCTTCGTCGTCTTCAGACATCTCTTCACTTTCCCATTCGTCATCATCACCTTCCTCCAGGCTTTCGTTATCATGATCTCCTGTGATTTCGCCGGCAAGGATTTCGTCGTCGTCCATGTCGGAATCGTCCTCGTCATCCTCGTCATCTTCGTCGTCTTCATCATCTTCATCGTCATCGATGACCACTTCGATGTCCATGCCGTTGTCGCCAGGAAGTCCCTCAATCGGCCCAACGCCTTCGATTTCATCTTCTTCATCACTGACTACCTCGCCATCGTCTTCTGGCAAGTCTTCATCATAATCCATCTCCTCACCATACTCATCGTCGTACATTTCGTCATCCTCCTCTTCCGATTCTTCGGAGCTGGTCTCCTCCTCGTGCCGAGGCTCGAGCATGCCCAGCGTGGAGTGGCGGAAGAGATCGGGGGTCTCCTCCCGGTCATCTTCCATATCCGAAACTGACGTAGCTGAGGAGATCTCATCATCTTCAGTTTCAGCGAGAGTGGAGATATCCGATGACTCACTCAACACCACCGCGGTTTGGGTGAGCTTGTTAAGAGGACGCAAAATGTACTTGATGACCCGTTTGGACGCTGGGAAGTTGAGGTCAATTTCAGCGACTGAAGCTGTCAGCGCAGAGATGAAGTGTTTTTCAAACATAGTCTTCGCCAATTGCCTGGTCGAAGACGCGAAAGCTGTCTCTCCAGAAACGAAGGCATATCCACTGAGCATTTTATCGAAAAGATCGGCAAGTGACATCAACCGAGAATACTTGGCGTCAAGGGGTTCATTCGAAGCATTTGCTTCCTTGTATGACCTCAGCGCATGTTCCAAGACAAATCGCCGCACAAAGGCAAGCTCGGGCTCGTCGTCTTCATTGAGTTCCTGTTCGTTACGTCGCCTTCCAGGCCCGCCGAATTCGCCCGTCTTTGTACATAGAGCAACAAGAACACGCATTGTCCAAGCAGAAGTGTTGCTTCGCTTCTTGAACGAGACCGATTCGTCATGTTCCATAGTGCCAACCGGCACTAACGCATTCAGGAGATAATTCAGAATCCCCGAGCGAGGCTTTGACGGGGTAGCCGCATGAGGATCTGCCTTGCGAGAGAAATTGATGAATTCAACCTTTGTGCGATTATAGGACGACAGGAGCTCGGTCAAGCACTGCAAGAGGAAACACCGGTAAATGTAGATTGGGTGGTCGTCCGCCTTGAATGCCGGCTTGTCTGACTTCTTGGAGTTGCGTGTGGCCTGCGCGTCGGTGCTAGAAACAGACGGAGAAGGTTCATCAATCGACATTTCCACATCGGTTTGAGTTTCCGATTGATCGGGGGCCGATGGGTCTGTGCTCTCGGTGGGAGCCTCCTTATCATCGACATCCTTGTAAGACAGAAGCTCAGAAAGTAGATAGTGGATAACGCCATCAGGGTTCTCCACCACAGGCGGCTTGAGATCAGTAGATTTAGCCTTGTCCTTATCCTCAGATGATGCTCCACCTGTCTGGCCCTCGCTCTTCTCCGGGCTGTCAGGTGCTTCTTTGACCGTTGTGGGATCTGAAGAGCTGTTCTTTTTGTCGGCCTTCAGCGTGAGAATCTGGGGTCGTTGGCGGTTGTCATAACGCTGCAACTTCAACTTTTCATTTGACACTTCAACAAAAATTTCAGGGGATCTGAGGACAAGATGATACATTTGTCGCACGTAGCCGGTCGTATCGATCTGGCGGGACGATTTGGATTCGAAGTTGGCGACAATCTCACTTCTCATGATCTGCCGGATGGTGTCCTCATCTTCAATGATGTGTCTTAAGATTAACATGAAAGCTCCCTGAAGCTTCTCATTTGTGGAGCTAGACAATTGTTTGACCATGACGAATAGACGTTGCAGGCTTCGTTTCTCTCCCAAGCGCACAGCAATGCTGCGACTGCGTGTGAGTATGACAAGAATTCGACAGATCGAAAGGGCCAATGTTTCATCCTTGCCTATTCTAGGCAGTATTTCGACTAATGCCTCATAAAGCTGCATTTTCTGATCCAGTGATACAAGAGGCTCCTCCAAGTGAGCTGGTTGCTCGTCGTCTGCACTTGGGTTCTCATGATCAGGGATAGTCCAACGAATCTGAGGTGGCTGGCAGTCATCAGAAAGCAACTTCTCCAGCACCAGGAGGACGTGGCCGATCCAAGGAAACGATTCATCGGACGACTTTTCGGGTAATACTTGAATGAATCCAAGGAACGTCGTGAAGCATTCTTTAAGCTCACCAAGGGTTGCGGTATACATTTCCCGGTCCTGGACGACTAGAGCGAGAAGGTGAGCATAGGCGGCCACCTTTCTGCCAGCAGCCTGGAAATTCTCCATCTGTAAAGAGACCAAAGATTGCACAAGAATCTCGCCTACTTCTCTTCTAAAGCTTTCCGCGTCGCGGTGTCTTCTTGTTGCGGAGGCAATTAGATCCGCCAACTCGAAAGAGACGTCGTGGTGCTCATTCAAGATGTCCAAGCAACGCTCAATCAAATTCGAGCGAACCTGCTCACGTTCCTTATCTAAATCCTCGATCGTAGTCACCTCACGCCGTCTCGTAGGCTGTTCGGAGCGTTGTTCTGGTGACTGATTTGCCGGAAGGGTTGAAGGCTCCGACGAACTACCACCGGGAGCGTTAGAGATACGGGGCGTGATTATTGGAGATTCCTCATGTTCATCGCTCCCTGTGGCATGGTCGTCGTTCAAGATATGGGTCAGGGCTCTCGCCAGGAATTCAGAGCCATGTCTAACTTCGCTGTCTTCAGATCTGCCCTGGCCTTGGTCTTGACGGGACGCATCGTCGGCCGGTCGGCCTGAAGCTTGTGCCAACAGCATGGCAAGTGCAGACCGCTCGAGGAACCCATTGTCAAACGACGGGGCATCGCTTGCCGGCTCGTCAGATCCTTCAGCCCCTGACGTTGAGCGAATCGACTCGATGTCACCAGGGGATGGCTCTGCCCTTGGAGGGGCTCTTAGCCGACTTTGTGCCCTGCAGTACTCCTCGGCGGCGGCATATACGTTGTTGCAGCGATAAAGCGCTTCCTTGGCAAGCTGTCCATCGAATCCCTTCTCTTGTAAAGACACCATGCGGTCCTTGTTCACGACGAACATTCTTCTCGCGACGTCTGTCACCATAGGAGGCACATCGGAGCTGCGAGCAGCTCCTGTCTCATATTCACCATCGAGTGACGAACGCAGAATGTCAATCAGACATTTGACAACAGAACTGGAGGACTGCGCGGCGAAGTCGGAATTCCACATGTCCCGAGCCATCGGTAGAATCTCCATCCGAAGGTCCACCAAGAACTGGCCCGGTTGAAAGTAGTCGGGGCGATCCCGGTCACGGTCGCTGGTCATGGCCTGTGTTTGGCTGGAATCGACGATGTTCTTCCCCGAGGCAAGCTCGGAGAAGAAGCTGAGGATAATTTTGATGCCGCCGTAAGCGGAGGTGAGTCGTGCTGAGACATCTTGTTCAGATTCGGCGACGGATTCCGGCGGGGTCAGGGCCTTGACCTCCTGTACAAAGAGGTCGCAGATGTCTTTCGTTACTTTCAGGCCTCCGTGTCTCTTGAAGGAGAACAAAACCAGGGTAAGGTAGTGTGAATGAGGACGGTCTGCGGTAGCTACAATATGGTCAGCATCCAGGGAAGAAATGAATAAGGGAAAGGAAACCAGCCTACCTTCGAACAGAAGATGGGAGAACGAAGACAGTATAACAATCAGGTAAGCGAACCGGAGCTTGGAGTTGTCACTAGCGTTTGGAGGCTGGAATTGCAATTGCTCTAGCACGGCTCCGGCAACAGCATCCGCCACCAGAGTTGCATTCTGCTTCTGATAAAGATCCGTCCTCCTTTTTCCAATCAGACCAAGTCCCAAGTTATGGAAGAAACCAGTGATTGAAGAAGGCAACGAGCTGAGGAGATACCGGAGGGCCTGAACATTCTTGAACGCTACACCGTCTTCGGCAACCTTGGCTGTGGTAGGCTCTTTGGACTCTTGGGCAACTCCAGGTTGGGCACTATCGCTAGCAGCTGGACTTTCCCTACTAGGCTCTGTACCAGGTACGATGGTGTTTCCTTCGGAGTTCAGTTGTCCCGCGACAGGGTTGGATCTTTCGGGAGCTGAGCCAGTTTGTTGCACTTTGGTTGCCTGATCCCAGGTGTCGGGTATGTTCTTCTCAAGCAGTATCTCCTCCCAGACACACGCTGCATGCAAACCTCCCAACTTATTCACAAGGGAGCAATATCGGTCAACTAGGTTAACTTGAGCGAAAGCGGAGGTTTGCTGGCTCGGACGTGTCTGGTACAAAGGCATCGAATAGATCTCACGGAGGAAATCGGTTAGGATAAGGGCAGCCCCCATATGCTTTGCAAAGAATGTTCCATTTGCCTTGGATATACTGAGCGTTTCCTTGCCCTTTTCTTCGGATGTACTGTTGGATGTCGCCATGATCAACGGTGTGAAAAATCCCGAATGATTGGGCTCCTGCCAGAAACTCGAGAGCATATCGACAGCTCGCTCCGTTCGCTGGACGAGGGATGGCACAACCAAGTGAGGCTTCGTTTCTGCAAGCATATGCACCAGGACGGCAAGTTCCTGGTTGGCATCCGTGTTATGGAAATCATATGGGAGGCTTTGCAAAGTCGCGAGATCCAAGACAAACTCTACACCCCCGGATTCAATGAAATACGAGCAGTTGGGCTGGTTCTCGAAGAATGCACCCAGGAATCGGACGACAGGGTACAAATAGTCTGTGGCAGTGAGACCAGCCGCGTCCGTTTCCTTCGGCTCAATGTTGTCATTTGACGATGGAAGGATCTGGCTTAGATCACCGAGCTGTAGCTTTCCGCCGTTAGGGAGCTGATCGGACGTCAATTGAGGCACACCGAAGGTGGAGGCATCCTCGGCCTGATCGCCATTATCGATCCCGATCGCCTTCAGCAAGTGGGCAGTAGAGCCCGAGATGATTGGCTTTCCATCCGGGTTCTCTGTCCACAACTTCGCACCCATTCCGACTGACCAGGCCTTCGCTCTGCACAAGAGTCCAACACGCGCAACCATCACGATAACTGCAGTCATGATGTGAGCCTTCAGAGCCGGATGATGCCGCACCAACTCATCAAAAGTGGTACCTAAAGAACGAACGAGGTTGGGATCGTCCTTTAGACACCTGACATGCTCAGGGTTCTCAAAAATCTCAAAAAAGCTCTCCAGAGCATCGGAGGACTTGAACAGATCGAGACCAGAGGAATTCAAGCAAATGGCTCCAAAAGCGGAGGGAATGCACGAGAGAGCTTCGGCGGCGGGCATGATCCCAGGGGCTAAACGCGTCTCTGCCGACCTTACAATAGTATATTCCCGAGGGCCCCGACCATCTTCTGCGGTTGTCTCGGTAGCACTGGTCTCAGGAAGCCTCGAGGTCTCACCCTCAACATCAGCACTTTCAGGTTCGACAACTATCTTCTCCTGGGCCTTCAATTCGGAAGAAGTAACGGCCTCCAAGAAGCTCTTGCTTAGCCCAGCTTCGGCAATCACTGCGTAGCTCGTAGGCTCGTTGTGAATGAAGCTGCTCAGGATGTTGACCGCGTTGCTCCAGACGTGAGAACCAAACACCCGAGCGTTTTCCAACACAAGGCGTAGGGAGGTCAGCAACTGAGGAGAATCTATCAAATTCCGAAGGACACGGTCAAATCCGCCGCCATTGTGCTGCATGATATGGTTGACAAATCTAAACATCCAGCGCAGAGCTTGTTGTTGGAAATAAGGAATTTGATAGTCAATCGATGGAGTTTTGTGCTGTGAAGGTATTCCAGCTCCCCTGTTTACGTTTTCAAAGGATGATTTGGTTTCGTGATCGATCAAGTCCGAAATTGCGTCAAATCCCTTAGCGCTAGTGAGTGTGCCCAGTGCATCACGGACAGCATGGACGAAAGTGTCCAGGAATTCCATGATGCGGGAGTAAACTCGACGGGCCTTTTCTGTCCGGAGGTTGAGAACATCAACAAACATGGGGATCAGGCCAGCAGCAACGAGAGTTTCTGGGGTCCTGGTACTAGAGCCCGGAAGCGTTCGTAACAAAGCGAGCAACGCATCCCGCCACTCATCCTGGCTACCATCTTCACCATCAGTGTCTTCCGAACCCAGCTCATTGACGGTTTTGCGAGTCAAGAACATCAGCACACCATGATTTACATTGACACTCAATGCGCCACAGACGTCAATCGCGCGTGCCTTGTGCTTCGCAAGAGCATCAAGAGCCTGGAGGGCCAATGTCTGCAATGTCCGGGAGACTGGGAGGTCGCCACTGGCACCTAGGTGGACCAATTCGCCGAGCTGATAGGCGAGCTGCAGACGTTTTGGCTGCTCCATGTCATACTGAAGGACTTTCTGCTGGAACAGCGGCTCGGGATAAACGTAAGCTAGGTTAGTAAGGGCGAGGATTCTGATCGCCAGAATTTGCTCCCGCGTGGAGTCTGACGTTGCCAATCCCTGGGCTGTACGTATCCTATGAAGCAGTTCGTATTTTGAATCATCTGGTACTTCGTCTACATGCGCGGCAACAAGCTCTTCAGCGCTTGTCGAGGAAATCTTCGAATATGGTAATTCGAGTGTCTTACCACCCCGCAGCGTCTCGTCCTGCTTTCCCGGCGTCGAGGTTACAGATGCAGGCGAATCCTCGGCAGTGGACATACGGCTCAGACGTGGTGTGGGATGGGTGTGACTTCTGCGTAGAGGCGTGGGGGTGGTAGGGGCCTGTACCGATGGTCCACCAGTGCCGGTCTCCGGTGCAGTCTTGACCGGTTCTGATGAGCCAGACGGATAATAAAGCAGGCGCACGTTACCCCATTCATCCCAGCTTTCATTCTCCCGTACAAGGACAGACATATCATTGGCATTATGCCGGGCCTGAGATGCCTTTTCCTTGGACTTGATCGAAGCTACCGGGGACACTGCCGTTCTTCCTGGGACAGAAGGGCGCGGAAACGGCGCAGCAACTTTCTGCAATTTCTCCAAGTCGATGTTGTAGTGGGCTGCCAGCAAGCTGTGCTGGATATGGGAGCCACCGCGTTGGCGTGAATGATACCGCTGTGCCAGACACAAAGATAGACGGAGGGTGGACTGAAGCAGAGAGAGCGAGGTGGTGTTCAAGAGTTCGCCCAGGCGTTCACTGCTGCTGTACAAGCTACGATTACCGCACTTTTCCAGCAGCAGCCTAGAGAAATCAAGAATAACCTCTAAAAGCTCCCTGTCTCCTTCCGGTCCATATCCAAGCTCAGCTAGCTTGGCATCGACATCCTGAGGTTTTCCTGCACTTTCACCATGCACGTAAGACTCCACCAGAAAGTCTTTGCCGAAAGGCTTCGTCTGAGGACCGTTGTTCAGGGCGTATTTCTCGATGGCAGATGCCAAGATCTCGTCGAAGCGGTTAAGCACGTTAATCCAATGGTACAGGTCGCCTCTGGGGAAGGGCCATATGCGAGAGAAGGTGTTGAGATGCGAAGGAAGCTCGGGGACTGGAATAGTGGTGGCACGCGCTACGAAATCTGCCAGATATGGGGACTGAATTGATAGAAAGAGCGAGGGAAAATTTCAGTTAGCCTTGCAGACGTGACAGATGGAACGCGGGGTGAAAAAGAGGGACTCACGATCGTAGCCTCGTGTTTTTGGCTCGCCACCTTCTTAATTCTCCCCATTATGACAGTTTAATGACAATGGCAATCATGAGGAGGCTAAGAAAGCCAGGAGGGCGTCTCCTTGAGAGGGTGGCGGTTGATCTCTTAAGACCGGGTCGCGGAGCAGGTCGCGAGGAAGACCTTATGACGTTTTTTTTTTCGGACCTCTCCTTCCTCAACAAAACCCGATGAATGGAAGAGAGAGGAACAAGTTAAATGGGGAAATCCCGCTGGATCACAGGAAGCCAAGTAAAAAGAATGAACTTGGGTGATTCCAGGCGATCTAAACACTTCCGCGACAGGTGGGATGGCCTAAAGAAGATAAGGACTGAGGGATGCGGCTTCGCCCAGTATCGCTGGGAGTCAGTAATGACAGGGGACGGTGCAGGTCGTCAGCCCTGAGACTTTGACATCCAAATAAATTAGAGTTTAGATGAATGAGGACGCAAGAGCGATACCTGGGGGCAGGGTGGGAGACGAAAAGATTGTTGCAAGGTTGATGGAGGGGGAGGAAGAGAGAGGAAGAGGAGAATGTGGTAGGTGTTGGAAGGTTCGTGAATCCGATGATGGGCTTTGGGAGCTCTGGGCGGCTCTCACTCAGTCAGTCAGTCAGTCAGTCAGTCACTTTCACTTTACTTGCCTGGGTTCCCGCTGGTCGCGGTGTGGCTCCGGCCAGCCGGAGCGGGTCTTCTTCTTTCCCCGCCGGCCAACAACAATAAATTAAAAATGACCTGCCTTACCTTCATCTCACTCTATCTATTTGCTCCTACGGAGTAGACTACTACTGCCTGACTTCGTACGACTGGGTGGTAGTATGTGTTACTGTCGTTGCTACCCCTAGGTATCCTACTACTAGTAGAGCTGCTCATCCCACTTTTGGGCTTACATCGGAGCCTAATACCTTACTCTAAAGTCAGGCTTACTCTTGACCTTTTTTGTTCAGGCCTCTATTCACTGCCCGTTTGCTACGATTTGAAGCAGCCTGGCGGTTAGTTATTTCCCCAACAAATTTCTCTGTTCGATGACCAGGGTCTTCGTTCCAGTTGAACCTCACCTAGATATACCAAGCTGGCGCTATCCCATAGCCATGTGGGCTATTAGTAGGCCTATCTAGGAAGCTGAAACTCCCAATGAGCATAGCTCCACAGGAGCATTATGATTCGGGGAATATCGTGTTTTGTTCGGGAGTGAACGCATACAGGTGGGGTGAATGACAAACAGGAGTTGCATGAGTGACGTCTACCAACAGAGGTTTCGGTGAGGAGTACTATGTTGTCCCCACTACTAGTATTACTTGAGTGGTTTATGCAAACGTGTGCGTTGGAAATAAAATATATTATTATACCAATGAAGAACTGTTATACATTAGTCGTTCCCGCCTCAGCTATCAATTCATCCCCATGATTCATCAACAATTTTCAGTTCGTAGCAAGACTTGGCAGATCGCCATCCCATTGGATCTTCATGGTCGATGGGAATGGCCAATAGCTGCTTTGGTCTGCAGTCATATACATCGAAATCCCTCCAGGTCCAGCAATCCTCTTCAATTGGCCTTGAGACCCAGGGGCCCGCCGGAGGTTGTCTAGACGTCCCACCACCCTGAGCATTGTCGTGAGAGCCAGCTTACAGATGCCCATGCCTAGGCATTGATGAGGCCCAAATCCAAAGTGGGCGTATAGGCTCATGTCGCGGTCAAGCTTGACCTTCTCCGGCTCGGGAAAGCTGCGGGGATCCATGGAAGCCGAGACCTACGAAAAGGAAAGAAGGTGAGTAAGTGTCTGCTAACTCCGGGGAACTTTCCACTGAAGGAGGCTTAACGCTACTTACTAGGTTGCATAGTACACTTTGACCGGGCTTCAAAGTATACTTTGACCCACCGTCATCAACGACAGTAGGCTTCGCGACCAGTCGCGGCAAGCCGACGGACGATCGCAACCGAGCTCCTTCCATGAAGCTGAAAAAATGTGTCAGTATATGTCTTTGCAAACCACTCAATGAATATGATTAGTGGCATTTCCCGGGTTCAGGGGGAGCTTACTATCGTAAAAGAAGGGAGTCAGCCTCGGATGTGTTTTCTTGGGCAAGTCGTTTGATGTCGGGCAAATGAACGGATCCTTCATCTGAGAGGTAGTAATCAAGGCATTGCGAGAAGAGTTGGGCTTGGTTTGCCACCATGCCACCCGCTGTTGGTAACAGATGTGTCCAGACAATGTCGGCTGGAGGAATATTGCTGTGCAGCAGACGCTGGATCATGTGTTCGCCGTATTCACTGAGGACATCGTGCCGGTGCAGACTGCTAACGATGTTTGCGATGAAGCCGGCCTTGTTGACAAAGTCAACATTGGCCATGGTCAGATCCCCGAGCTGTTGAGTCACATCGCGGGCAGTGTGGTTCAGCTGGAAGGACGTTCCAACATCGGCATCGTAGAAAATGGAGGCGAAGACAAGTGCCAATATTTCGTACAATTCAGCCTCGGTAAAAATGCCCCTGGGATTAGACTCAGTCTTCAGGGGCAGAGAGAATACGTTTGCGCAGAAATGGGCCTGGGCGTAATTTGCGACATCTCGAACGATATCGACCTGATTGGCTCCGCCCAGCTTGTAAGAATGCTGGCGCAGGAGCTTTATGGTGATATCCTCATAGAATCGCTTCACCTCACTCTCCCACTTGTCGCGGTATAGGGCCGAGCCCATCATCCGGCGCGATGCAGCGTTGGGTGGCTTGTCACCCGACAGCATGAAATCCCGACCATAAGGGTGATTGTTGTGACGCATCAAAAATTCAATCTTGCTTCCCCAGGTTACCTTAAACGCCTCTTGGTCGTTGAGAACTGAAATACAGGCCGCATTAGAGCTGATGAATTGCGGCGTAGGCGTATAGCTCGGCCGGCCCCAGCTGTAATCCTGAGCAACCGAGAGCTTCTCAAGGATCTTCTTATTCTCAGATGGAATGACCAGAGGAAAGTGTGCGTAAATTGAATCTCCTTTAAAGTGATTGGGAAATGCACGCAGCACCAGTTTGTAAAAGACCTGCCCTTGGTCAACCGAGTCCTGAGGCTGTATTTCGTGATAGGCCCAGTTCGTGAGATGCTTTGGTGTGTAATCCACCGTATAGAAACGGTCGCCACGGACAAGGGAAACTGCATCGGAGAGAATGGCCCTTGAGATCGTGAAGTTTGTGCACAAACCGCTTCCAGGCACTACTGCGTCTTTCGTAGCCTCGACGATAACACCGGGATACATCTCCACCAGGTCAGGCTCATCATACAGGTTCTTGAGCTGGGCAGCAATGTATGGATCAGGATTGATTTCCTCGAAGGTCTTGTAGGGCGCAAGGTCGAAAAACTTGCGGAACTCGTTCAGGGTAGCCAAGTTCCAAGAACGCGCCTGCAAAATACCGAGGGCCTCGATATTTCTGAAGACCGATGGAATGTTACCGGCACCAAAGGCACCGGCACAATCCTCAACGCCATCCGCAAACATGTTCGCAAGGTCGTCATCATCAAAGGCGCCATCTGCATTACGCTGTAATCCAGCAAATGGACGGTCCGGGGGCTGCTCTGGTAAGCTTGCTTCCCACTTGGCCACGCCCCTAAGAAACTCTGGTAACGAAACATTGTTGGGATCCTTTCCTGGAAACAGATCTTTGTACAGATCCTGTGTCCATTTTTCGTCACGCTGGGATACGCAAGCATGCCAGCGGTAGACGAGGTTAAACTCAGCAGACACTTGGTTTCCGGTGGCTTCCGCTGGAGCGCTTCCTAGCAAGCTATCCTGGATATCAGCTCGGGGGTCTAAGCTCCACAGACTGTCTGTTCGATTGATATTCAATATGGTCCGAACGTAGTCCTTGAGGATGATGTTTATGTATAGACCACACGTGACCAATCGACCAGTCTGGAAGAGATCGTTGTCGTATCTCGTGCTGGCGTCGACATCAGACTCATCTGGCTTGGTAAAACGGCCGCCTTCATTGATAGTCGCCAAATTTTCGACAACATAGTTGTGGAAGCGGTTGAACATCAGTAGAAGCACGCCGACGCCAGGAGGAAAACCGAGAACTCGTTTGCTGGAAAAGCAGTCCGGCTTGAGTTTTCCATCCTTGAAAGTCCTGACGAGGTTCTGCTCGTCTTGATTGTTGCCATAGAGAGGTGAAAGATCCAAATACGAGGAGGTCTTGTTCAGAGTATAATCATTGCGATCCGTTTGGAACAGATCTTTGAGCATGTCAGTTGGGAGAACTTGAAAAACCAAGGATGATTTAAGCAATGCGTACCGTGAATAATGATGGAAGCAAGGTAGAACAAGACACTGGATATCTTGTTCGGATGCTCCTTGTATTCCTTTCTTTCCAGGAGGGACTCAAAAAGCGTGCTCGGATCCGGCAGCGAAGGCGACTGAACAGTTGTTGGCCGTACAGACCTGGCGTAGTGGCTACCAGCTGCTCCAATATGAGGCCAGAGGAAGTTCTGTCAATGGAGAGTTAACAAACACCTTCCAGAAGGGTTCCGGGGCGCACTATACATTTCCTGACCCATCGGCCTTGCGGTAAGAAGTATCCCGGCCTAGGTATCTACATTCCTCAATCAGTGTCATATAGAATGTCATGTCACAACAAACTTACGAAATCGGAGGATGTTCCAGATCATTCCAGAGCTGCTTGAGGAAGGTGTTCGTCAAGTCCTTCCCACTCTTAGAAGTCGAAGGGAGCCCGGCAGCAAGCTGGAAACGGTCAGACGGACTCAACTGGCTCAAAAGGCAAGAGTAAGCACTTACCTGAATGACTCGCTCCATTATATAATGTCTATCATCGACTGGTTGACCTGTTACAGCATCCTTAACGACCTCCAGCAGGGCCTTGATATCAGTAAGGTCGCCATGGCTGAGGTCCTTGACAATTCCCGTCTCAGCGGGCTCAGTGACATAGGTCCCGTTTCCAGTCGCCGTAGGTAGAGGCCGCAAGGATGCCGAAATAGCCTTTTCAACCTGGGAAATTGTGCTCCCAATGCCGTTCACAATGG